ACACTCCGCCTTCGACCGTCTCCCCCGCGGGATGCATCGATACACTCACGTTCATCTCGTTCAAATGCGGAACCTCGAAGTCCACCCCAGTGCTTTCTCCAACATACAATGTGGTCGTCTCTCGAAAAATGAAGTCGCCTTCTTCCAAGTCGATGACTATAGCCTTTCTCCTCCCGCATCCATGGCTCTCCTCTTATGAGGCATTAGACTACCGTCCTCAGGAGAAATATCCTTGTCCTCATCGACCAGTGAAAGGAGTTGAGAAGCGAAAGCAACGGACGGAACATAGGCAGGTTCTTGGACTGCGTTAGCCGAGGGAGGGGTCGGCAAAGAAGCGGCGGAAGTCGCAATAGGGGTGGAATCCAAAGGTGCAACAGCCTTCCTCCAAAAAGGATGACACTGGTGCCCGGCTCCTTCAAGAAGACCCCATGCATAGGAAAGAAACAAACATTTAAGTTAGCTAAATGAATCAGCATACAACGAAAAATGAAATGCCACGGGCAAATAAAAGAGGTTACATGTCGAAGGAAGTGCCGGTCTGAACTTTTTGATGAAGCTCGGCCAGTCGCGGATCCCTACGACGTGGGGAAGGATTTGCTCAACCCAATCAGAAATGTGTGTGACTAAAAGGGGAGGCTGATTGTTGGCTACAAGGAAAGGGAAAGTCCTTCAATTAATTCCGAGCAAGTAAAGGAACGCAAACAAAAAATGAGCACTTACGTGTGTAATTCCAAGCCTCGGGAAAGCCATCGGTGTTAGCCACCATGTCCTCGGTCCTGATGTAGAAAATATTAAGCCAGAACTGGCAACCGACCTTATCGTCCGTCTTCACCACCAAACATTTACCTCCAAAATAGTGAAGATTTAGCATCGTTCCCCTATAGAAGCTAGGGGCAAAGAGATGAACCAAATGCTGCAGCATCAGCTCGACCCAGACCAGCTCGGCAAATTTGGTCAGCATTCTAATAATTTTGTAGACGTATGGCGCAAGATGAGCAGGGAAGACGCCGTAGTGATGACAGAATTCCTCCACCAACAGAAAGAGTAGGAGCAAATAACCGATGAGGAAGGGATAAACGTATAGAGCAGAGTATCCGGGGCGATGAACCTGTACCACGTCCTCACCAGCCGGAATCAATTTGACATAGTTTGGAAGGTCGAACTTGACCTTGAGTTCCGCCAATTCTTTAGGCTTAATCGTCGATTGAAAAATTCCAAGAGCGGCGTCCGGTGATTTGGTGAGGTCGCACCTAACGTTAGGATTGCAGAAGATTATTTTCTCCACTGACAGGAATGCTTCATCATCAACAATGGCGAAAGCACCCTCTATATGAGAAGGAAACACAACTGCTAACGGAGGAATGCGGCTCCCTTCACTGGCGTATGATGGTAAGTTAGACATGATGTAAAGTAGTAAAGAAGAATAACAAGTCGGAAAGAATGGGGATGGAATAGGGCAACAGAGTGAGGAAAGGAAATTTAGAGAAGAAAATGGCAAGAAGAAGGATGGTGCTCTGGAAAGTTAGAAGAAACAAATTTCAAACTCAAGTCCAAAAACCTCTATTTATAGAGATCATGGCACTAAACCCGAAAATGGCTCATCATAATTGGCACCGGGAGCGAAACGACAGATCCCATCAAAGGTCACGCACGAATCGATGCAACATATCGGGAATATGCGTCATAATGACGCCTGATGTCATGGCGTCATTTTATTCCTTGGACAGGATAACTCCAACAAATCACCCGGGAAACTTGTAGTATTTGAAATATGTGGCCCACAGAGGGCCATGTGGCCTGTTCGGCACGACGATTACGATTCTTGCAGCTTACTCGATAAGTTCGACCGAAAGAGACATCATCTACTCATTAAGCTCACCTGCGAGGACAACCTCAATAAGCGGAGGGACTAACTGTATGGGTCAAAAATCATCTCTAATATGATCAAACCATGTTAACATTAAGGAGGCATTCACAGACTGCCATGTGGCACTAATACGACTCTAATGGGGGACCTGCCCAAGGTCGAAGTGGTCCCAAAAATGACGAAGGTTGAGGTCGAGGAGTCAGCAAGGATCAAGGTCGAAAAGTCGTCATAGGTCGAAGTCGAGGTCGAGCATCCTAGACAGAGTTGTAACGGCTAGTCTTAAGATAGGATATTAAAGAAAATATTCTAGTGGATATTCTCTTCACCTGTACTATTAGGATTTCTAGGAATATACAACAACAACAACAACAACAACCCAGTAAAATCCCACTAATAGGGTCTGGGGAGGGTAGTGTGTATGCAGACCTTACCCCTACCCCGCAGGAGTAGGGAGGCTGTTTCCAAAAGACCCTCGGCTCAAGACAAAGGACAAAAGGAGACAATATTAGTATCACCAGAGAAATCATAGGAAAAGTAGGAACAACATAAAATCCAGAAGAAAGATGAAAAGCAAAAGCAAAAGCTATGGCTAGTAAATAGGTCATGCACTCGAAAGCGAAAATAGTAAGAGACAATATTGTTACTAGCTATCTTAGACAAAAAACCCTGCCATACTAGTCCCACAATGGTACGAGGAAAGGCAATACTCAATTACATCCTAACCTACAACCCTAATACTCGACCTCCACTTCTTCCTATCAAGTATCATGTCCTCGAAAATCTGAAGCCTCGCCATATCCTGCCTGATCACCTCTCCCCAATACTTCTTAGGCTGCCCTCTACTTCTCCTCTCGCCCTCCACAACCAGATGCTCACACCTCCGTACCGTAGCATCTGGGCTTCTCCTCTGAACATGCCCGAACCATCTGAGTCTCGCTTCCCGCATCTTGTCATCAATGGGAGCGACGTGCACCTTCTCCCGAATATCATCATTCATAATCTTATCCATCCTAGTGTGCCCGCACATCCACCTCAACATCCTCATTTCTGCTACTCTCATCTTCTGGATATGTGAGTTCTTAACGGGCCAACACTCAGCCCCATACATCATGGCCGGTTTAACCACCGCTTTATAACTTACCTTTGAGAGACGGTGGCACTCTCTTGTCACACAGGACTCCAGATGCTAACCTCCACTTCATCCATCCTACCCCAATACGGTATGTGACATCCTCGTCGATCTCCCCTCCTCCCTGAATAATCGAACCAAGGTACTTGAAGCTGTCTCTACTTGGGATGACCTTTGATTCAAGCCTCACATCCACGCCCACTTCCCCCGGCTCAGTGTTTACACTCCAGGTATTCCGTCTTCGTCCTGCTCAGCTTGAAACCCTTAGACTCAAGAGCCTGTCTCCAAACCTCCAGCCTCTTGTTAACACCGGCTCGCGACTCATCAATCAGAACTATATCATCGGCGAATAGCATGCACCATGGCACCTCCTCTTGAATATGGTGTGTCAACGCGTCCATCACCAGGGCGAATAAGAACGGACTTAGCGCAGAACCTTGGTGTAACCCCATTACAACTGGAAAATGCTCAGAGTCGCCTCCTACTGTCCTAACCCGAGACTTAGCCCCATCATACATGTCCTTAATCGCCATAATGTAGGAAACCGGCACACCTTTTGTCTCCAAGCATCTCCAGAGAACTTCTCTAGGAACTTTGTCATACGCTTTTTCTAAGGCAATAAACACCATGTGCAGATCCTTCTTCCTCTCTCTGTACAGTTCCACCAACCTCCTAACAAGGTGTATAGCTTTTGTAGTAGAACGAGCCGGCATAAAACCGAACCGGTTATCGAATACAGACACTATCATCCTCACCCTCGCTTCAACCACCCTCTCCCATAATTTCATGGTATGACTCAGTAATTTGATACCCCTATAATTGTTACAACTCTGGATATTACCTTTGTTCTTATACAATGGGACCACGTACTCCACCTCCACTCATCCGGCATCCTTTTCGCCTTAAAAATAACATTAAACAACCCAGTCAACCACTCCAAACCTGTTCTCCCCACACACTTCCAAAATTCCACCGGAATCTCGTCTGGCCCGGTCGCTCTATCCCTACTCATCTTACGCATAACTCCCACGACCTCCTCAACCTCGATACGCCTGCAGTATCCAAAGTCACGGTGACTCTCGGAATGCTCCAATTCTCCTAGCACAATATCCCGATCCACTTCTAGGAATATAACCCCTATAAATAGAAAGAGACACAAGGATAGGGGACAAGGGAGATTCACTTGTAAGAAAATACATTGATTTTGTAGAGAGAATCTGACATATTACAAGCATATGAAAACACCCTTTTTACTAAGATTCTTGTCTAGCTTTTCCACTTGATCCAAGAACAACCTGAGTGTTCTAAGGCTCATCAATCATTCTTCATTGTCAGAAAGAATATCCATGGATTCGACCCCTTTTCGATCAAATATACATGTTATCTGTCATAAAACCGTTAACCTTATCTTTTGGATATTATTATTAGCTAAAATTGACTCTTCTTTATTTAAATCTAATTGGTTGAATCAAGATCTGTATTTTGGGTCAAACAAAGACAGTAACCTACATTCAGAAATAATGGTGTTATAAGGCAAGTGTTCTGTTTCTATCATTTTTATAATTTTCATTGAATCAGTGTTGATTTAGAGTGGAGTCATGTTGTCTTTCACTGCAATTTTAAGTCCATGTATGATGTAACAAAGCAATTAATTCTTAGGAAAGCCTTTCATGTAGCATATTACCCAATCACCCTTATGACTACTAAGAAATTTTTGTTGTTTATATATATTGATGATTTAAAGATTTCTACACTATTAATGTAACTTCTCTTAATTTTAAAATTACAAATTTTTGTGAAGAATAACATATCGATTTCTTTTTGATAATTTGATATGTAGTGTTACAATGTTAGTGTATAACTTAAACTCTTCCTCGAATACTTAACAATACTATAAATATAAATTTTAAAATAGTTTATAAACAAAATTTATGTAAAATAATTTACTACTACATTATGTACCAGGCATTTTGGTAAAGTTGCTGCCATAATTTCTTCCTTTTTCATAAAAAATTAAAAATGGCACATAAGCGCGATTATCTATTTTTCGTTTTTTTATAAGGCGTCACGTGCTCTACATGTGACGTCGCCGGCGCCACTGCCCGGCGGGAGACGGGAAGACGAAACAATACAATGAAATGCGTGTTAGAAGCCTCGTATCACTATTATCTCCTCAGTCTCTGCGAGATTAATGAAAAAGAAGGAAAATTCAGAAGCCCCAATTGGTTTCTTCGATAGGTCAGTCACTTCTTCATTTTTCCTTTTTAATTGTGCGAAATGTACATTAAGCTTTGGATTTTGCTTCTTCTTTTCGTCCAGTCTATATGCATTCAACAAACTACACATTATTGCATTCGTCACGCTTTATTGCACTTGTTGACTTGCATATCTATAAAATTGTTTAAGCGTGGTTTTATTGCAGGTTATTTAGCTAGCTTTCAAAGATTAAGGGCTCAACAAAAACTAGTACTAGTATATTTTTTTAGTTTAAAGTCCTCTATATTCATTCTGTTTTGTATAGTCGGATTTCAATCGAAGTAAATAATTTGCTTTTAACTCAAATTAGAGATTGTTTTAAAAAAGGCTAAAAAGAGTACTCGCAAATATTGGAAAGATGAACAAGCCTTAATTCTAAGTGGAACACATGCTTATGATAATTTGTCCTGTAATATGGTTACAAGGCATTTGCGAGAAAGTAGTTAAGAAGTGTAAGAAGCGAGTCTTTTTGATTCAATTTGGGAATGGAAGTTGATTTGATGACTCGTGACCAAATTGTATGTCTAGACATTGCAGCAGAATTAAAGATTCTACTGTTGGAGGTTTGGTTAGGGGTTTGTCTAGAGGAAACTGATATTTGGGAATCGGATTTATATTATTAGATCAATTCATTAAGTTTAATGGGTGGCTGTATATGAAGATGAAAAAACCAGCTGAAGTAACTTTGATGTTGGAATATAGAACCTAGAAAAAATGCAGCGAGCAGGCTTCAAGAAAAATGTGTAAAGAAGTTAAACCTAAGAATAAAGAGATAAGCAACATGATGCTCGTATATCCACTTTGAGATATTCTCTGGGTCTTAGTCAAATATAGCCAAGGGAATAGAATGAATCATCTCCTTCATCCGGTTAACACGGGACCAAAAGGTTTGACGCAAGCTCCTACTTTTGCCTGAAATACTTTGGACCACCTAACTCCACGAAGTTCAGCGGGTTTATCTTGTTTGATTCATCAAACAGAAAACGAAATTCTTTCAGCATTTCAGCAAGTTTGGTTTGAATGAAGATGATGCAAAAGATATCTCAATAGATGATGTGTCTCTAGGATTTGAATATCCTATGGATATGGACGGAGCAGACTTTTCTGATACTGACTAAGAACCCTCCTTGGTCAAGTCAGCTGAATTTTAACATTCCCATCAACTCATCCTTGGCTTGATCCGGCCAAGATGAAAGAAATGAGAATGTTGATGTTTCTGGCGGAAGAATGGGGTAGGTATGATGGAATGCCTTTAGATAGAAAAGGACAATTTGGTAAAGAATCCTTAAGAGCACTTTTGCAGCATAAAATGCAGAGAGCTAACCCTTCCCGCCCTCACCACCCTTAACTAGAGAGACTCCTTCAGTTTTTATTGGATATGAACATGGTAGTTTCGGCTTAGCCACACATGGATCCATTTTGATGAACCAAGAGAATAAAAGTCTGCTTATGGAGACAAAAGAAAAGGCTGAAGATTTTGAGCTGGAATCTGGATATCAAGCAACAAACACCTATAAGTGGAAGCCATTGTTCATGGGTAGACTTAGAGTTGGTTGGCTCCCTAATGGCATTCCCATACATTCTGGTGTCAGTTGGAGGACTTTGCCAACTAAGTTGCTCTGACACGGGTGTGGATCTAGAGCCCGGATCCTTTGAAATGTAAATTTTAAGATTCGGGGATACGGATCCTAGAATCACTGGCGGATCCACAAGGAGTTTTATGGGTGCTTAAGCACCCATTGTCTTTTGCCAAACTTAATAGATTTACATAGGTAATTATCAAAAAATTTAAATAAGTATTGAGTGAGCACCCACCACTAAATTTATTTTTCCTCTTCTTTTGATATTTTTACCGGTGAGCACCCATGACTTTGAAATCTTGAATCCGCCACTGCCTAGAATTGACACGGGTGCGGGGATCCGGCTAAAAGAAATTCAAAAAAATAAAAATTTAAAAATATCTCTAAATTATGAGAAATTTTGTGGAATATTTATCTATAACTTGTAAAGTGTGGCTTACTTTTTAATTCTCATGTTGTAGGCGTGATTTTTTTATTTTCTTCCATTCCCGGATTCTCCTACAAGTTACACAAAGTATATTAAAATATAATAGATAGCACATAACTACATAAGTAAAAGAGTTAGATATATAAAGATAAAGAAAACATACCTTTTAGGCTTTTACTGGTTTTGTCGAAGAACTTGACATGAACATAGAAAATAAAAGACGTAATTATCATTCCTCTCACAAGTCACAAATTATAAATAGTTATCCATTCTCATTAAGTCAATCAAATAAGCATGAGCACCAAAAAGGAAAAAATAAACTACAATTGCAATCACCATTCGCTATACAAAATTACATTAACATTGAACTATATAAACTAATAAAAAGTAGGAAAGTATTAACTATTAAGTTTTAGCATTTGAACAATAAATTTAGCATTCTTCCTCAATATTTTCAAGATAAAATTCTTACACATCTTCAACCTCTTCTTCAAAGATGACTCCTTCTAAGTGAGGTTCATCTATTGATAAGTCAACTAGATCACCGGTGGCTTCATCAACATCAAAACGATCTCCGCCTAAAGCAAAATTAAAATAAAAATGATTTAATATAAAAAAAATATAAAATCTAGAAAACATTGATTATAGACATACCCACATCCCAGTACTTGCTTGGGTCACTTGTATATTTTTGTTTTTGACGAGAAAGCAAGCGAAGATTGTAGTGCACAAAAACTAGTTCTTCGGCTCTTGAAGTCTCTAACTTGTTTCTTTTGATGTTATAGATCAACGATAGGTGCTCCAATTCCTTTCGCAACAAGAAGAAGCAGATTGTGGAAGCAATTTGTAAGCCAAACTTTGCAAAAGTGGAGCGTTTACACCATGGTTAGCCCACCAAGATACTTGCTCCTCATACATCATGGCCTTAACCACATGAGGCTCATTAAAAGAACCACTCTCACTTGCGAATGCTCCATACTCCAAAGACGCGTGTCTTAGATCATTTGAATATTTAAAGTATTTTTGGAAGCATTTAACCCTATTTAAGAAAATCTCTCTATCCTCATTGGGAGCAAGCCTTCAAATCTCATTGCCTTTTATAAGCCATGATTCATGGTAGTATTTTGGTACCAATGAATGTGTCATACAATGTAAAGGAGTGTTACTCTTATTCCACCTAGCAACAAGAATTTCTTGAATCGTATAAAAGAAGTCCAATTGCCCGATAATAAGATCCTTCCCCTCTTTCTCAAAGATAATTGCCTTCACATTTTCGATCATTATATCCCACATATCATAAACAAGATGCAACTTTGGAGCATCAAGATCGGCACTTCTAAACATAGACACAATTGATTACATAAACTTTAAAAAGTACTCAATCTTATCCCACCATCCATCATTCATTACAAAGGATTTTATTTCACGCGTTTTAGCTTCAATCACTTTATCTCCCTTATAATTTCTCCAATCATCATCCATCAGACCATCACCATTCTTTCCAATGTTGCTTCACTTGATGAACACGACTAGTCATGACAACATGAGATACAAATCTCGTTTCGGCAACTTTCAACATAGATAACGCCGAATGCTTTTGAAAAAGAGCATGAACCATATTATGATTCAACACAAAAATTTTCAAGCTACTAACTTCAATAATCAAATCTAAAATCCATTTGCAAATTGAATTGATTTTTTGGAAGTTTGCACATACTTTTTAGTGCAAGGTTCAAACAGTGAACAACACATGGCGTCCAAAATATATGTGGAAAAATTTGTTCAACCGTAGAACCGGCAAGCTTCATATTACTTGCATTATCGGTGATAACTTGAACAATATTACTTGAACAACATTAAATCAATTGAAGAGGTTGGTGCAACCGTGCAAGTAATGATATGGCTCATGCTCTTTTTCAAAAGCATTCGACTTTGTCTTTGTTGAAAGTTGCTGAAACGAGATTTGCATCTCATATTGTCATGACTAGTCATGTTCATCAAATGAAAGCATCATTGGAAAGAATGGTGATGGATGATGATTGGAGAAATTATAACGGAGATAAAGTGATTGAAGCTAAAATGCGCCAAATAAAATCCCTTGTAATGAATGACGGATGGTGGGATAAGATTGAATACTTTTTAAAGCTTACAGAACTAATTGTGTCTATGCTTAGAAGTGCCGATCTAGATGCTCCAACATTGCATCTTGTTTATGATATGTGGGATACAATGATCGAAAAGGTGAAGGCAATTATCTTTGAGCAAGAGGGGAAGGATCATATTATCGGGCAATCGAACCTTTTTGATACAATTCAAGAAATTCGTGTTGCTAGGTAGAATAAGAGTAACATTCCTTTACATTGTATGACACATTCATTGGTACCAAAATACTACCACGAATCATGGCTTAAAAAAGGCAATGAGGTTCGAAGGCTTGCTCCCAATGAGGATAGAGAGATTTCCTTAACCAGGGTTAAATGCTTACAAAGATACTTTAAATATTCAAATGATCTAAAACAAGCGTCTTTGGAGTATGGAGCATTCGCAAGTGGGAGTGGTTTTTTTAGTGAGCCTCATGTGGTTGAGGCTATGATGTATGAGGTGTCTCTATCTTGGTGGGCTAACCATGGTGTAAACGCTCCACTTTTGCAAAGCTTCGCTTACAAATTGCTTTCACAACCGGCTTCTTCTTCTTATTGCAAAAGGAATTGGAGCACCTAGTTGTTGATCCATAGCATCAAAAGAAACTAGTTAGAGACTTCAAGAGCCGAAGATCTAGTTTTTGTGCACTACAATCTTCCCTTGCTTTCTCGTCAAAAAGAAAAATATATAAGTGGTCTAAGCAAGTATTGGGATGTGGGTATGTCTATAATCTATGTTTTCTTGATATTATATTTTAGATCATTTTTATTTTGCTTTAGGTGGAGATCGTTTTGATGTTGATGAAGCCACCGGTGATCTAGTTGACTTATCAATAGATGAACCTCAACTAGAAGGAGTCATCTTTGAAGAAGAGGTTGAAGATGTGCAAGAAATTGATCTTGAAAATATTGAGGAAGAATGCTAAAACTTAATATTTATACTTCCCTATTTTTTATTAGCTTATGTAGTTCAATGTTAATGTAACTTTGTATAGCGAATGGTGATTGCAATTGTAGTTTATGTTTGCCTTTTTGGTGCTCATGCTTATTTGATTGACTTGATGAGAATGGATAACTCTTTATAATTTGTGACTTGTGAGAGGAATGATAATTACGTCTTTTATTTTCTATGTTCATGTCAAGTTTTTTGACAAAACCAGTAAAAGCCTAAAAGGTATGTTTTCTTTATCTTTATATATCTAACTTTTTTACTTATGTAGTTATGTGATATCTATTAAGTATGTTTTATATACTTGTAGGAGAATCCGAGAATGGAAGGAAATCACGCCCATAACTTGAGAATAAAAAAGAAATTCACACTTTACAAGCTATAGGTAAGTATTTCTCATAATTTAGAGATATCTTTATTTTTTTGAATTATTTTTAGCCGGATCCCCGCACCTGTGTTGGTTCTAGGATCCGTATCCCGGAATCTTAAAATTTACATCTCAAATGATCTGCACCCGTGTCAGAGCAACTTATGTGAGGAGTATATCCCAACTACGTATAAAATTTTGAGAATGTAGAGTACATCCTTGTACAAATGCTCTTTTGTGTTTCTGACTTGAGATATGGGAAGCCCATGTTACTGGATGGAATAGAAGCCAGCTGCACTGCTAGGTCAATGTTATCAAGTTGTTAATGTACCATCAGAAAGCAGGATACTGGTAAGTGACATCTTCCATCATATTTGGAACAAAGCCTGTTTGTCTGGATCCCCAATCGGTATGTTTCCTTGTCACCTGTGGGTTTGAATATCTTCATATTCTTGCATAGCGCAGAAGTGAATTGGATACCTCTTTGAAATTATTCATTGAAATTGATAAAGCATATTTTTACTGGCAGGAGACTCCTGCAAATAAAAGCAATTCATGTGCACTTCATTAGCAGCTTAAACAAATATTTGGCTGTTATGAAATCAAATTGCCTGTATTGCCTGTTGATGCAACGTAATTACCATTGATTACTGAAACATGAGACTAGCAGGTCTGCTTTTGCCCCCAAATAGGAGTCTTTACTTAGCGTAGAAAATGACGAATAGTGTTCCTTGTTGAAGATAAGTGAGTTCCCAAAGTGAGGTGGAAAGTTATTTTGTTCTTAATAGTTCTAGATGTATACTAAATTGTGCCTAGTAACTTAGCCGATCTGTGACCTAATTCAGAAATATTTAATTTCATTTATGGAGGGATTAGAATGGGGACTAGGAATACCATGTAACGGAACCCATTCCTTATTTTATGTCATTTAATCAGTAAATTTGAACATTTGGTCTCTCCTATACCAAGTGATGCAGTGCCAGTGTCATATAAAACCTTCTCTTCTTTGATAGATAATATTGTCAGCTTTAGAGAACTTTGTCCAGAAGTTCAATGATAATTTGAGTTGCTCTAGTCATTGTTAATATAATATTATCACCTTCTCCAGGGTTTTCTGGTTCATCATCGCCTGTATATAGTAATTAAAAAACTCCCCCCTCCACGCTCTTCCTTTTGAGTGCTAGTCATTTACTTTTGTTGCTTTACACTGTTATGCATCCTTTCCTTGTAAATAATTTAGAGCTTGTGATGTTTCTTTATCCTTTCTCAATAGGAAGGACTAAGGAGAAGCAGAGTCATTAATCTTGGACTTTATTCATTTCCATCAATTATAGCTTTTATCTTCTTTTTGTCTTCTTTCTTTTTGGTCATAACATGCTTATATCATGCGAGAAAATTTGAACGTATAGAATAAGAGGATATGATGAATGGAACATCTTCACGAAAAGTTTGGTGGAATTTTTTAATACAGTGATTAGTGTTGTCTTTTGATCAATTTACGGTCACCTCTCAGGTATAGTATCAGCCTTTTGGACTAAAAGTTGGTTCATCACGATAAAGCTTGGGAGACAAATGTGACGTGTTTGGAAAAAATCAAAAGAAAAAAGTGGTCTGATTTGTCCAAAGCTGCTGAAAAGCAAATAATGTCCCTCTAAAAGGAAAAGCACATAATATTCCCAGGCTTCGATCTCATACTAAAACACTTTTTTTTCTTTTTCTCCACCCCTTTTCACGGATAAACAGTGACTTCCTATTTTACCCCTGATGACTCAAACCCCCAGTGAAAGCTCCCCTTCATTTCAAGCGTGCCATGCACTCTCCCCAAGATAATCAAGTGCATAAATGGTTATGTCTTAATTCTGAATTAATTGGATTGGAGCTATATGTTTCTATATTTGTTCTGCTCAATTCATGTTCAATGTCATAGTTTAACTTACTTTACAATGATCATAATAAGCCTATTAGTAGGTTATTATGCTAGTTTTTGTTGCTGCATATTTTTAGATTAAGTTTCACTTCACTATAAAAGTGGGTTAGCTATCTGTTAAACAACAGGCAGTCTCACTGCACAAAGAAGGTCGATCCCAGTTCATTGAATGCATTCGTGTATACAAAATTTTGCAAGGCTTCTCGAGTGGTTGTTAATTACTCCATTTTGAAGCAACGAGCAAAAGAATCACTACTGAATCAAAAAAAGCATGGCCATTCTGCATCAAGAATTCTAAGATGAATTTGATTCTGATATCAACGAAGATGGAGGCTGCGGTCTTGTGCCTTTATTACTCGTGGATTTGGCAATCGGAGGAGATTGCGACGACGATGTTGAATCTGATATCAATGGCGAAGATGGAGGCAGCGGGCTTTTGCTTTTATTACTTGTGGATTTGGCAATTGGAGGAGATTGCGCAGAAGCTGGCGATGGATTTGAAGTGGGAGTCTGTCTATTCGAGCTGCTCTGAGGTTTCTTGCTGTCCCCTTCACTTACCTTGTCCTCCATCCGATGATGCCGAACTTTAGTAGACTTTAAGTTCATTGGAATTATACAATGGCAAAAGAAACCTACACCAACAGTTACTAAGTTATTAAATAAATTTCTCATATCAACAAGTTGGAGAACATAAAATTTCATACCTAAGAACCAGTAACCCGTAGAATTAAATGCGGAATATTAGTTCAATGGCTGCAAAAGATCATGCCCCACAGTTTGGGCAGCCATTGAACTCGGTGAGAAACTTCCGCAATGGCTGCGAAAAATCATTCTCATCTCTCACCATAACCAAATTTTATTACAGCAAGCAAGCATTTATTTCTAAGAAAGTTCCTGGACAATTCCTTTATCTTCCTACTGTAGGTTCTCAACTTAATTACAATAAGAACAAATATTGAGACTTCTATGAAACTAGCAAGAAACTTCCTGATTCAACTACATGTTGAGAAAACGACAGTAACGTATTTGAACAAGTCCGATCTAATCTCAATTAATTATGTTGTCAATTTAAACTTGTAGGGGAGTCTTGGAGCGTTAGGTCACGGTTTCGAACCGTAGAAGTAACTACTAATGTTTGCATTAGGGTAGGCTGTCTACATTACACTTTTTTAGGTGTGGCCTTTCCTCGTATCCAGCGTGAATGCAGGATACTTTATGTACTGGCTGCCCTATGTTTTCAATTTAAACTATATGAATTCTTTAACTCTGTTCCGTTATATTCATTCTATTCCAATACTCAAAAATTCTTCTAAAACTAGTAGTAGTTTATAAATTCTCAAGCTTACCCTAACACTAACGTACAATTATTAACTAAATTAAAAAGATTCCTAATATGGTGTACTATAAGTGAAGCAATAAATCTTACAGAAAAAGACAGAAAATCTTACCAATCCGAGCGAGACGATTAACCCAACTGGGAATGGGATTACTGGTGAGTTTAATACAAGCATCATTACAGAAGTGGTTGCAGTTCTTGGTAATAAGATTGTAAGCAATTCCTTTATACTTATCAGCAAGTTCTTCCATTACTCCTCTTACTTCTCCAGGTGTCTTCTCTGTCCATCCAATCAAAAGGGTCTTTCTAAAAATAAATCCCTCGCATTTTTTCGGCTCCCCTTCGAAAATTCCAGTAGTTGGATACTCATGAGCTCCAAATGCATACTCAACTCCGTGAACTAGCTACCATAACCACCATTAACAAATCTTTAATTACCATATGCTATTGACAAATAATTGAGTTGATTTAGTAAAAAATTTGCATTTAATCACAGTTTAAAAAGCACTTTTCTTGTTATAACTACAGAGGTGGTCCTACAATTTCTAGTACACAGGTGCACTACTAAAAAAATGTATTAAGTGAGAACTGACCCATATTCAACCAAGTGCATCATTTAGTCTTCGTAGAGAATGGATGTCAATAATTAATATTATACCAATTTTAAAAAATATGTATATGAAATATCTAAATTTTACAACCATCGTTACTATATACAACAACAACAATAAATCTAGTGCAATCTTACAAGTGAGGTATGGGGAGGATAGTGTGTACGATGACTTTACTCCACCTTGAAGGTAGAGAGGTAGGTAGAGAGGTTGTTTCTGACAGAATCTCAACCCACGAAAGACGAAAAGACAAGCATTAACAACAACAAGATAGGTAAGAAAACGAAGCGAAAAGGAAAATCTTTTACCATTTCCTAGTGACAAATAATTTAAGTAAAAAGATTGTATTTTTACTACAATTTATAAAGCAGATTTCTCGTAACAAGCCCAGATTTGAAGCACAGATCTAATAAAGTTAAATCAGCGGGAAAATATGGAAAATTTAAAGAATAAACAAAATGGGTATTGAGTTACTGACCTTGAACACCGGAATGGTAAACACCAAGACCAAGCCAATAAGCATAGCCATTCATTGAGGTTAGATCGTATACATTTAAGTACACTGGTACCGATCCACGGCCACATTTGACTGAATTCTTGCAACACGGCATCTTGGACAGAAGAAATTCCAGCTCCCCTTTAGTCTGTAACCCACATAGCAGAGCAAAAAAGATTCTTAATTTTGATAATTGAATTCAGATATGTTGGTATTTGGTAGGTAAATGAACGAGAAATGTGGGTTCTCTCTTTCTTTTTTGCTTACTTGGGGTTGGGGTGGGGAGGTGGACCCTACCGGCGGCGATATAGTGCCGTACCGGTTGGTGTAAGAGGAGAAGAGTAGTTATATAAATATGTTGGGAAAAAAAGAAAGTAGAGATTGGTTGGAGGCTTGGAATCTTTGCTGACACTGCTAAGCTAAAGTGAAGTGTGTATTATAAAGGTGGCTGAGTGTATTATGGAATGATGATCTGTGATTTCTCTTGTATTTTAGTTAACACATTTCTGTCTTTCATTCCTGTAGAGTTTGGGACTCTACCGGTCTACCCGATTAAAAAAATTCGCTAGGCATTTAGACAATAATTGAATTCTAGTTGAAAAAAAATATTTGATTACTAAAATTTTAAAAAAATGAAAGTTATTTGTGTTTGTATATGAATTTCACTTTAAAAAATAAAGTTTGTATAAATTGAAGATTTGTGAATTAAAGTCAGTATTTTTAATATTTCCCTAATGTTAAAATTACAACAACAACAACAACATACCCAGTATATTGCCATACTTGGGGTGTGGGGAGGGTAGTGTGTACGCATACCTTAACCCTATCTATGGGTGTTAACCGGGTGGGCTGGGCCGGGCCAGGCCAGTATTATTTGGACCCGTACGGGTTTGGTTCTGGGCCGGTTCCGGGCTTGCTCTTAACGAGTTTAACGGGTTCGGGTTAATCCGGGTAAAAAATGAACCGTACGGGTTACGGGTTGAGGGGGCCGGGCCGGGCCGGGTTTAGTGTTTTTTTAATTATTTTTTTTAATATTTTGTATAACTACTGTAAGTTATATTAGTACTTTGTATTAATATAAAGAATACAAGAAAGATGGGGAAAAATTGCACTTATAAATTGCAAGTGTTACATTTATTTCAAAATTACAAAATTAAAGTTTGCATTTAAAAAGTAAATTAACAAAAAATAGTAAAACTAAATTTTTTTGCATAATAAATTAATAATACTTCAAATTAATCTAGCAAACTAAAACATTAAGCATAAATACGTCTAATAATTTAAAATAACACAAATTGTCTTAAAATCTTAAAATAACACATATATAGCATATTTTAAAAATAATATGTTACCATCATATTCTATGATTTTAATATTTATAGTTTTATACCCTAAATATATACACTATATGTTAAATTCCAACAATTTTAAACTATGTTAATTAGTATACAATAATTGGTATATTCATAGTATATTCATGGTATATTCATGGTCTGGGCCGGTCCGGGCTGGGTCGGTTAAACCGGTTAGAGGCACTATTCATTGGACCGGGTTTAACGGGTCCGGTTAACCGGTAAAAAATAATAAACGGTCCAACCCCCTCTACCCCTCCTACCCAGCCCACCCGGCCCCTTATGAACCGGGCCGGTCCGGTTCTGGTTTTAATCGGTCTGGGCCGGTCCGGTTCCGGGTCAACCCGGCCCGTTAGACACCTTTAACCCTATCTAGTGAAGATAGAAAGGTTATTTACAATAGACCCTCGGCTCAGAAAAGTAGGAAGAAGAAGAAGAGGGAGAAAACGAAGAAGAAAAAAAAAGGGAGGGGAGAAAAAGGGGAGGGGGAACAGAGCAAGGAGCACCAAAATAGTAATAACAGGAGATTACGATAACAGAAACACACTAAATCACATGATGTAATATAAATCTGAGAGATAGGAAAGTACATGCGTGCTACTAGTACTACTAGTAAGAAAGGGGAAAACTCTCAACTACCTGCTAACTTTCTACCCTAATCCTCGACCTCCACACCCTCCTATCAAGGGTCATGTCCTCAATGGTCTGAAGTCGCGTCATATCCTGCCTAATCACCTCTCCTTAGTATTTCTTAGGTCTTCCTCGGCCTCTTCTCAAACCCGACGTGGTCAACCTCTCACACCTCCTAACAGGAGCGTCACCGCTTCTCCTCTTAATATGCCCGAACAATCTCAGCCTCGACTCCCACATCTTGTCCTTCACGGAGGTCACTCCTATTTTGTCCCGAATAACTTTATTTCTAATATTATTCCTCTTCGTACACCCACCCATCCATCAACATCCTCATTTCTATTACTTTCATCTTCTGCACATGGGAGCCCTTGGCTGGCCAACACTCCCCTATATAGCAGGGTAGGTCGAACCACCACTCTGTAAAATTTTCCCTTAAGTTTTGCTGGCGCATTCTTATCGCAAAGAACACTAGATGCAAGCCTCCACTTCATCCATCCCACTCCAATACGATGTGTGAAATCCTCGTCGATCTCCCCGTTACCCTGTATAATAGATCCGAAATACTTGAAACTACTTCTCTTGGGGATGACTTGAGTATCGAGCTTCACATCCACGTCTGCTTCAA